CCCTCGCGCGGGCCGAGGGCTCCCAGAGGGGCGGGTGTGTGTGTGTGTGTGTGTGTGTGTGTGTACCTGTGCTCCGGGTGTTGCGTAGCTGCCTGTAGGGTGTGCGCTGGCTGCAAGGTTCTGCGAGTCTTTGTGTGTGGGTTTGTGGTGTGCGCGTGTTCTGTACGGCGTCGCGTGTGCCCGCGCGCACACCCGCTTCCTCGGTGCCCGCTACGTCCTCACTCCCGCTGCGTCCTACCCCCGGCTTCCACCCGGGGCCGGGCGATGGAGACCTCGGCGGAACGCCCCAGTTTCCGTGTCTGGGTCTGCAAAACCCGGCCGAGCTGCCTTCGTTCCGGGCGCGGCGAGTTCGTTGCAGCCGGGTTGCCCTCGGGGCCTCCCGCCAGCCCCCTCGGCGCCCCCCACCCCCACCCCGTCCCAGGACTTCGGGCTCTGAGTCCTCGAAGTCTGTCCCGCCGGGCTCACGGCGCGACTCCTCCCCAGGAGCTCCGGGTCCACTGCCCCGACACCAGCCCAGAAGCCCCGCTCCCTGCCCCGGAGCCCCGCGCCCACGCGCCCCTCCCCACCCCGGGCCTTTCCTGGCTCCCTCGTCCGGCGAGTCCAGCTCCCTCGAGCAGGGCAGCACCTCCACCGCAACTTCGAAAACACCCCAGTTTTGGTGAACCATTTTCTTTTGGGAGGGGGCGTACTTGATCCAAGAGTGGTTCGTAGTTTTGTTTTTGTCTTGACCGCGCTCGGTGATTTCATGTGTGTGCGTACTTTAAACACCCCGGTCCATCCCAAATTGAAGGCTCCCAGAGCGGAGGCTGACATTTGGAAGTGAAGCAGAGACGACGCGGGAAGTGTGGCTGAGGGCGGCGCCCGAGACCCTCGTGGGGAGCCCTCCCGCCCAGCAGCGCCGGGATCCCGCGGTGGTGCTGACCCCAAGGACTCTCCCCCCGCCCCCGGGAGATTCTCCAAGGCCCGGCGCCCGTGGCGGAGAAAGCTCTCTGGGGAGCGTGGAGGAGAACGCCGAGAGCGCGCAGGCCGGCCTTGTGGAGACCTGGGTAACCCTCCCGCCGCCTCGTGTGCGCTCATTAACTGTTCCATCAGAAAGGAGAAAAGGGACGCGATACCTCGAAATTCCAGGAAAAGCGAAATCGGAGGGTGGGGAACGCGGGCCTCTGCAGACCGCCCCTTCCCGGGGCCTCGCCGAACGCGGGGGCTTGAACCACACCGCACCCGGCCGGAGCGGAGAGAGGATTTCTTCCATTCCACCCCCGAACCGAATTATTCACCGTTTCCCCAAACCGAGTTACTACGAAAGGCCCGCCAAATCGGGCTTAAATTCCACTGAGAACAGACAAAACGAAGCTCAAATTTCGTTTGGCGACTGTGGGCGGGTGGGAGAAGAAAGGGCACGGATAAGCCGGGCAGGGACGCGGAGCGCCGAAGGCGCGGGGCGCGGTAGAGTCTCTGTTCACCTGGGCGGACCCGCACAGGTGCAATGTGGGTGGTCTGCACGTGTTACAGACCCCCCCCGTCCGGCTCCAGCAGTGAACGCCAAGCCTTTGCTCAGGAGCGTGCGGGCCGCGGTACCGGTACGGCGCCCAGGGGCGGTGCGGAGAGCCCCGCGCACCCACCACGTGTTCAGGGTATCCCGAAGGGGCACTGGTTTCGGATGTAGTTCCGCGTTTCAAGGGAGAATTCGCACTTGGGATGGCATCAAGCAAGGCACACACACATCCCACCGCTGCGGGTGCTTGTTCTGCCGGGGGCGAGGCGGGGGGCGTTGTATTTGCCCGGTTATCTGCGAAGAACCTGCAAACCGCCGTGCACCACGCGGATCTCTGAGGTCCAGTCGCCGCTCAGAGGTGACTCCCAAGACCGCGGAGGGGTGGCGTCCATCTCAGGACTCTGCTGTCGTCTCCTGGGGCCTCACTTCGGTGCTGGGGTTCTCCAAGCGAGGCCCTTTCGCTACCAGAGAGGACCGGCGGAGGACAGCTGGGAGAGCCACTTCTGGCTTTGTGACAAGCTAGAGGCCGAGATAGTGGTAGCAACAAAAAAGAGTTCGTTATGTTTTTCCTCCCCCCCGCTTCTCAGTTCCATTATGTTTGGGGATTTTTTGTTTTTTGCAGTTCATTCTAAAGCAAATGACAAAAGCTTGGAGTTCTTAAGTCCAGCTCCCTCCTTTTATACCTTTTGGAGAAAATGAGTCTCAGAAATGGGAAATGGCTGACACAATGACCCAGCCTATCGCAGCCAGCACCCTGTAGATTGAGCTGCAATGGGAACCCAGGCCTCAGGCCTCCCAGGGGCCTCCCAGGCCAGCCCTCCCTCCCCTCTGATCACACACTTATCCACAGTCCTTCTTACTCCCCAGCCCTGTCCCTTCTGCCTTTCCTGACCACCCCCACCCCTTCCTCAGGATGGTGAGGTGTGGTACATGAGGGAGGGGACTCCTCCCTGAGGAGGTTTCCCAACCCGGTTCCCAACCCATCTCCAGCCCTGCACCCCCCAGCATTTGGAAGAGGGAGCCTTGAAAACGGAGGTGACACTGGACAGAGAGAGGCTTCCTCATTTGTCAACCAGGGATAATAATAGTACCAGACTTCACAGGTGTTTTTGGTAAAGATATACAAGGACTGGGAGTTGTGAGTTTCATAGATTCATAAATTTAAAAGGGCCGCAGGCATTTCCTGCTGCTGAGTGGGGGTGAGGATCCTGCATAAGTTCCGCAAAGACCCCTGAGAACTTGAAGAGGCTCTCACGACGGGTCTCCTGGCTTTGGGGGTGGCCCAGGACAGAGGCCTGCTGGGAAACCCACCCTGCACTTTCCCGCCAGGTCCAGCAAGAAAGGACCCTGGGTACGTGGCCCCAGGAGGAAGTGTGCTTCTATTCACCCTTTCCGTTCCACCTGCAAAGCACCCCCTTTGTGAAGCCTTCCCTGCCAGCCAGCCCTACTCCAAAGAGCATTCTCTTCCTAGGATGCACCCTGAGCCACTGTCCGTGGAAACCACCATAGTTCCAGGCATGGCTGTGTGGCTGCCCCCCGCCCCCCCCCCCCGCCCCCAGGGGAAGATAGTGGTGGCAGAAAGGAAACTTTGAAAGAATAAATCCTTGTAAGTTCATAGCCCCAATTATAGGGAGGTAGTGGAAGAGCAGAGTTGGTTAAGAAAGGGGGAAAGATTGTCCTGTGTGGAAACAGCATTTTTCAGTGAGCAAACCTTGCACACCCTGTTGGATGGAAAGGGGTGGGTTCTCCAGCTGCCCAGAGGAAGGGCTCCCACACAGCTCCTTTTCCTGAAGCTCCAAGACTTCAGGATGGACTCCTTAGAGCCAGGTGCCACAGGCGTGTTTTCTTGGAAAAACTCCTCTCTATCCATTCCAGCGGCGAGTCCAGATTGAAACTGACTTGCTCTTCCCACCCCTCTCCAGGGACACGTGGCCGAGGGGTTCAACCACCCCAGCACGCTCCTTTGATCTTTCTGTCTCTCCAAGGAGATCTGAGCCTGGCCACCCCCAGTGTCCTCTCTTACTCTTCTAAGCTTCCCTGTTTCTCTGACTGCTGTGCTCCCCTGCCCAGTTCTAAGATTGCTGGCTTCACTCTGAGCCCTGATGATGAGTGCAGGTGAATGTGCCTGCTTGAGTTTAATGCTCAAGTGAGAGGCGTGTGTATGGGTACGGTGAGGACTGGTGGCTTTGGGGATGCACCCGTCTCTCCCCTAACATGAAGTAGCTTAGATGTGTGTGGGGACTGGGTGGGTGCATGTGCCTATGTGTTTATATGCTTGGATTTTCTGTGTTTTCAAGTGTATATACCAGCAAGTCAACATGCATAGTCGTGGATCTGTGTAAGAGACAAGGACGGTGCTTTTATTCGGCGCTGTTACTATTCATTTTTGGGTATACATCAGTCTGCACTCTGTATTTGCAGATCCATAAGGGAAACGGACGTCTGTTTTATTGGTGTTTGCGAGTGCACGTGTTGAATTTGGATGGAGTCTCTAAGAAGTTGTGTACTTGTGGTTATAGATGCTTGCACAAGGGACACCTGTCCACCAGGGTCTTGGGCACTAACGTTTAGAGGCGGGTCCTGCACACGGACTGAAAATGCGGCCCCCCAGCCGGGCCTTCTGTGTTTCCTACGCCCTCTGAGGAGCCAGCAAACTGGACTAGCCTCCCACTCCCGGACTCTGCCCCAGTTCCTGCACGGCTTCAGCCGGATGCAGGGCCAGAGGAAAGGCAGGACGTCACAGGGGCAGAAGCCCAGTCTGCGGATCCCTCCAGCGGCCTCGGGGGCCAGCAGGAGCCGCAGTGTCGCAACCAGACGGGGCCACCGCCGGAAGCGGAAGCCGGGATCGGGGTGGGGGAGTGGCGAGGCGCCGTCGCTGCGGTCGCGGCCGGCTTGGCCCAGGGCACCCCGCGGGGGCGTGCGCTCAGCGCGCGTGCGGGGCCGGCTGGGCGCCAGCCGGTTCCTCCCCCGACCCGGCGTCTGTTTACCAACAAACTGTCGGCGCTCAGCAGCGAGCATTCCGACGCGTTGAATAAGCTGCCGGCGCTGGCGGTCTGGTCTCGACTCCCTTTGCAGGTTCGTGATGGCGGGGTAGGAACCGCGGGTCAGATTCCGAGGGTGGGAGAGCATGCCGCAGGTTCCCTGCGCCCCCGCCGACGCAGCGCTCAGCCGCGGAGCTACTACCCTTGGCCCCCAGGCGTCACAGTCCTGCCGACACCCTGCGTTTCTGCCGTCAAGACGACGAGTTCCCAGACTGCTCCAATCACCCTGCAACCCCAGCACCCCTCTCGGAGGGGACCCCGAAGTAGCTGGGCCAAGAGCATGAGCCCCGCCCCCGCCGCATCTCCCAGTTCTGAATTTTCCTACCTTGGGCTGCCCCGGGGGGGCGGGCCCAGGCTGCAGGCCTCCGTGAGGTTACTTCGTGCGGCGGCCAATCCCGGGCGTCTAAGTGGGCGGGGCACCCCGTCGGGTCCGGGAACCTTACCCAAGAGCTAGAAGAGGGGGGCCCATGGATTTAGGGGGGAGGGGAAAAGCCATGGGGGCACCCCCCGGAACCCCTTTCCCAGGCGCGCTTTTCGCTGGAAGAGGCGCAGAGAGACACCCTCGCCGGGATCTTAAGTGTGGGGGAGGCTAGGTGGGGGATCTTTCGGCCCCAGCGCCCGAGGCTTGGAAAAGAGAGTTGGCAGAGAAAGCGGACTACGTGCCGTGCCCGGCCATGGCCTAGGTCGTTCTGCCCGGCCCCGGCCGCAATGTCCTCTTTGCCCTGCCCCCTCCCTGGCAGGGACGCTTCCAAAGCCGTCTTCCCGGACATCGCCCCCGTCCCATCTGTAGTGGCTGCCTACCCTCTAGGCCTGTCCCCCGCAACCGCAGCCGCCTCCGATTTGCCCTACTCTGGGCCATACGGCCACCTCCTGCCCTATCCCTACACCGGGCCGGCGACGCCCTCAGACCCTTACCTGCCTTGCCAGCAACCCACGGCGCCCTCTCAGCCCTCTCTGCAGGAGCGGGAAGCAGGTAAGTACGGCCGCGGCGGCTTTTCCCACCTCGGGGACTGGTGCTCCTGTGCGCCCCTAAACTTCGCCCTCGCCTGGTTGGGCGCAGCTAGCGGGATTCAGCCCTTACTCAGAATCCATAGGATCTGGGGGTGGGGGGAGGGCAAATGGATGGGGCGGGAGACGGGGGGGAGGGGCGGGAGCGAGTTGATTTAGGTCTCCTTTCAAGACCGACCTGGTTTCGATTTTCAGTTGTGTGAAGCCGGGCAGCGGGGCTCCCTAGCCCACCCCCTGCCCACCCCCTGGAGCACCGGGGTTGTGTGTACCTACGGGTAACGGTAAACTGAAAGAACCCAGGTGTGGGTGTGGGTGCTTACCCCTTCTCCAGGACTCTCCGTCATGCTCACCCCTTCCCCATGGCGCCTCTCTCCGCTGCTTTCGTTTTGTCTCAGCAAATAGTGCTCAAGCCAAACACTGAAAACTAGAAGTCAGGTCCCAGCTGGAGGACGGTAGACATGGGGGCTTACTGGGGGCCCCTTCCCCTCTCCCCACCCCACCCCTACAGTGCCCACAGTGCCTGAGACTGGAAGCTGGCCTGAGAGAATCCGGGGCTAGGACTCCATCATCTATTGTTCTAAGGATTTAGCCACCCATGGGCCAGTCTCTCATTGTGGACACCAGCCATTCCTGTCATCTCTGCCCCTTGCCTTTGGGGGACATTAGGCCACAGTTCCCATTGCCTGGAGCAACGTTGAGCTCCTGAGAAAGTGCCCACTGGAGGGTATCAAGCCAGGGAGGGAGCCTGTCCCCCTGGCTCTGGGCCTGCATGGGCAGAACCCACACAGCACTCCACATATACCACCTGTGCTAGCCCCAGCTTAGACCTCAGGTCCCCTGCACTCCCTGCCCCCACCTAATGGCCCCTGAAGTTGTCTTTGGCAGTTTTCTCAAAGGTTGCACATCTACTGGGTGACTTTGCTGGGGTCAGTCCAGGACCAAGACATCTCCCTGCCTCCTGTCACTTGGCTGAGACTCAGGAGCTCATTCACATCTGAGCCAGGGGTGACGCTAGACGTTTGGGAGCTCGTCAGCCTCCTTGATGTCCAGATGCGCACACTGAGGCCCAAAGAAGAAGTGTGCAGGGACAAAGGAGACAGCCTGCTTTCCAGGCTCCAGGCCCTTGCAAATGGACTCTTCACCGCGTAAGGCCAGAAAAGAGGATGTTGAGGGAACTTCCTCAGAGCCCCCCCAAAGTCTACTGCCTCCTGTGCCAGAACTGGGGCTGCCTCTCCCAGGCTGCCGAGCCTGTCGTTGGGAGAGGAACAGTCGTCTACACCTGATATCGGTTCTACAGACAATTCCTTGGACCCTTCCAGTGCATGCTGAGGTGGTACATTTGCATGTGAGTGGCGGGGGGAGGGGCAGGGAGTAAGAAAACCCTGTCCTTAAGATAACTGTTGGAAATGGGGGTGGTGCTTTCAGCCTTGTCTGCCACACTCCCTGCTTCCCTTTGCTTTGTCTAGGGACGAGAGCGGGGGAGCATTCCTTTTCTTTATGGAATTTCCCGGACGCTACGAAAACCACACACATCCTTAAACTAGATTGTCGCATTTTTCTACCGAAACTGGTGGATTTGGCTTACTCTGTTTAGATGGATTGGTCGGGGTGTGAGAGAGGGCTTGGGGATCCTCCTTTGTGCCCCCATTCCGTGTCCCCCCCCCCCCAGCCCCACCCTCACTCCCGCCTCAGGGGAAGGTTTGGCTCCAAGGAAGCTAGCTACGTGCCACCGCCCTGTTGAGCAGGCGGGGACCGGCGCCTTCAGGGAGGCCCTCGGGCTTCATAGGGACGACCAGGGCAGATCCTGTCGCGACTTGCTGCAGCCAGTGTGGAGGAAGGCAGCTGTCAGTGAAGGAACTTGGCAGGGGTCTGCTGGGAGAGTTAGGGCTCAAGAACTGTGAACGTTCAGGAGCCCCGGCTGCCTCCCAGGCTCTCTCTGTGTCACCCTTTGAAATGACCGACCGGTCCACGCAGACAGAGAGAGAGTGGTTGCTTAGCTGCCAGCCCAAGGCTTGGAGCAGTAAGGTGGGAGCAGGGAAGGCTGGACAGGTGCGGACGGAGCGGAAACCCAGGGTTTTTCTGGGAATTGGCTGAGGTGGGGGTCAAGGAGGGTGGATCTGAGAAGCCCTAAGCGCCTCTGGCCACGAGTGAGGAATGCAGAGGAGGTCATCACCACTGTGGGTCAGGGAACCTGACATGTGGGATAAACCAGAGGGATGAAGGCCTAGGGGGACAAGGATGGACCCCAACCATCTGGGCACTGGGGCCAAGCGCCCTTTTTGCTAGGACGGCAGGCAGACCTGTGTGGAATGCAACAAGCATTGTCCTAAGTCCAGGGACATCTGGCCACTTGGTCCACCCCGCCCCACCATCTGCATGGAATGGTCTCCGTGCCCCGATGAAGTGGCACAGGTTGAGGCCGCCCAGGTCGGAAGTGGAGAACCTCTCACCCACCTCCTTCTACGGCCGGGTTAGCTGCCAGCCCAAGATTGCTTGGGAGGCTGAGCCCAAGGGCAGGAGGTGACCAGATCTACCGAGCGCAATTCGGGAGTGGCCGGGAGGGCTTTCGCAGCTTTCGGCTGCGTACTCTCTGGAACTGGGTCACCTTCCTTACCAGCCCAGAGCCCGTTTGTGAGTTCGGCGGGACACCCCTGAGAGCCTCCTCTCCTAGCCAGCCGGCCAAGGGAGAGGGAAGAGATGGTCACTTTTCCTGCAGTGCGTTCCTCAGGAGTGCCCCTTCTTACAGGAGGGGAGGCATGGCCAACCCTGGGGGCACTTTCGACACTCGGATCCTGGGAGGGGTGTTCATCCTGGCGTTCAAGGCCAGCTAGGCTGAGCCCCTCCGACCCAGTCCTCTCCCGGCAGTGGGGAGGCTGCCACGCAGACGCTGTAACGTGCCTCTAAGTCTTGCTCGTGTGCTCCCTCCGCCTGTAACTCCCTTCCCCCGCGTCCTCTCCAGGTCTCGGCCCAGCCCACCGCTGAGCTTCTGGGGCCCCACCCCGCCCTGTCCCGCCCCATCCCAAGCTGGCGCCACCGCACCCGGCTGAACTTTGACCTTCCGCCGCTTTTTGGTTTTTGGTTTTTTTCTTTTACCTACCCTTGCTCTGACTCCTAGGGTCACAGGGCCCATAGGGGTGGGAGCTCCCTGAGGGCAAGAACTGCGTCTTGTCCCACCTAGAGAACAGTGGCCTTGAGGTTTGAAACGGCCGTGGAGCGGAAGGTAGAGAGTGTCGGCCGGGTGCTCACGCTTTTTGCTAATCCGAAGCCAGCATGTAAACGAGATGCAAATAAGCCTATAAAATGGCAAGCCCTACCACCCTCCACCCTATGCTGCCCCCAGATGCAGAGAAGCCGCCGCTGTCCCCGGAGCCCTCGGAGCGGCTCCCTCAAGCCCCGGCCAAAAAGCTGCGCAAGCCTAGGACCATCTACTCGAGCCTGCAGCTGCAGCACCTAAACCAGCGTTTCCAGCACACGCAGTACCTGGCGCTGCCGGAGAGGGCCCAGTTGGCTGCACAGCTCGGCCTCACCCAGACCCAGGTGGGGCCAGTCCCGTTCTTCCTGCATGCTAACCATCCCTCGGTGTGTTCTGTGGGAACTCACCCCTCCCCCCCGATCCCGCCCTCCGACGCCGGCCCCCAGGTGGGAATGACAGCTGAGTCCCCCAGCCCAGTTGTCACAGTTCTTCAGGGTGTGCTCATTGCTGGCCCTCAGTAAGTTGGGGGAATGTATTTTTGAGAGGTGTTGTGGGGGTAGGTTTAGGTAGAGGAGGGTACCCACACTGGGAGAGCTCAGAGGCCGGACCTCCGGGGCTTCCAGGGCTGTGGAGGACCAGAGCGAAGGCTCCCGACTTCCGCTCTCCTCCCGGGACCGCCCCCTGCCCCTGCCCCTGCCCCTGCCCCTGCCGCTGGGCTCCTTCACTTTGGCCACATCCTTCCACGCGTCCTCCACCTGATCTCCCATTCTTTCCCCTTTCTCTCCGAAGGTAAAGATCTGGTTTCAGAACAAACGTTCCAAATACAAGAAGCTCCTGAAGCAGAACTCTGGGGGGCAGGAAGGGGACTTGCTTAGCAGGCCCCCCTCCCTGTCTCCCTGCTCCCCGCCCCTGCCATCCCTCTGGGATCTACCCAAGGTGGGCGCCCTGCCCACTGGGGGCTATGGCAACAGCTTTGGAGCCTGGTATCAGCATCACTCCCCAGACGCTCTGGTTCCACCTCAGATGATGTGAGCCTGGGCATGGGTGGGTCAGGCCCCCAGCCCTCCTACAAAGCCCAGGACCCAGCCCACCTGCACCCCTTCTGGGCCTGGAGGAAACCAGCTCCAGGTGGGTTTTCTCAGGATGATGGGGAGGAAAAGGATAGTATGGATCCCGGTCCCCCTTACCCCATAACCCAAACATAACCCATAACCCAAACAGCCTAATAAAAACCTTTGGTCTCAGCGACTGCCCCCCACCACTACCATGGACGGTACACCTTCCCTCCAGCTGGCCAGAGGCTCTGGAGCGAGTCGTTGGCTGGAGTTCAGGCTGTTTCCAGGACCTCTAGTCTTGCCACCCCCTTCCTTGAAAGGACAACAGTTCCATCACAGCCTGGGGCCAAAACCAGCAAGAGACACTGAATGTTTTTCCTCTGTGTGCCTTGGGCCTTGCCCCACCCATTGGCGGAGCCAGAACAGAAGGGAAGTGTATATCCAGCCTTCACATGGACCACCACCTGGCCCCACTCTCCAATTTTTCCTGGAGGTCAGTCCATCAGCCCGTAACTGATACACCTACTTACCCTCCTGTGCGGGAGCGGGGTGCTGAAAATGTGGAGTTTGTAGACCTATGGGTAATTTATGTGCTCTTCCTCACAAAGCCCTCTTTTCCCCATCTACCATTTTGAGTAGGCAGTGGATCCAATTATCCTTATAATTCAATGGATATTTATTAATCCCCCCAATACATAATAACCCCCATGTACATACTCTTGGGAAACACAGTAGGGTAACATTTTGGGCAAAAAGGGAACACATAGGCTCTCAAGATGAGTGTAAGTACAGACACCCCAAATAGGTGGGGTGGGCCCAACAATTCAGTGTTCTACAGCTGTCTCTCTCTAAATGAAATTCTCCCACATTTAGCCAGTCTGACTGGCATCCCCAGGCTCTTACCATCCCTCATGCTGTCAGCTTCCAGACATTAAAGTTTGTACAAAGACCTGGGCCCTGGCTTGGAGGTGTGTCTGTTTCCTGATCTCTGGGGCTGGCCGCGCATGCCCCTTCTGCACCGTCTGACTCTTCCAGCCCCGAACTACGGGCACTGGGGCCTAGTTGTGCCTCTTCCACTAACTAGCTCTGTGGTTCGCGCTCTGGAACGTTTTAATAATGCCCGTGTTTTCACAGTGCACTAGGGTGAAACCAAAAGGTGCTCACGCTGGCAATGACCGAAATCTGAACGGTCCTCACCAGCAAAGTCTCTCCAGGTCCAGTTCTAGAAGGAGTGGGGTGCCACAGGGCCTCCGGTGCTCCACCTTTAGCCCATGGAGGGTCCCTGCTCACCTTGGGAGAGGACATGTCCACTGAGCCAGTCCGGTCCGCCCCTGAGAGAAGTGTGCTTCTTGAGGATGGAAAGGCCCCAGCCCCACTAGGGGAATGGGGAGGAGGAGGCAGAGGAGAAGGAAGCCCCGGAAGGAACTGGACTTCTCCATCCAGCAAACATTTATGGAGCCTCTGCTCTGCTGGATCTCCAGATACCAGGGTGACTCAGGCAGACCCTGCAGGCTAACAGGGGAGCCAGATGCGTGGTCAGCCACTTGTGTGGTGCCAGGCTCAAGGAAGTACAGAGGGCAGTGTGGGCAGAGTCAGGGGGTCCCAACTAGGCCTTAGCCCCCCACCCCCAGCTCACACAGCACCCAGCCACAGGGGGGCTGAGGACAAAGGTAGACTATAATTCAGGGAATCCAGCCCAGCTTGACTAGAGGGTTTGAGGGGAGGGGGCCTCCAAGTCCAGGTAAAAAGCTCCCAGAGCCAGCTTTCCTCTTACTGCCTAAACCCGTTCCCAGGCACTCCCGGGCCCACACTGTCTGGAAAGACCACTCAGGCCTCTTGAGCCAACCCTGCTGGCACAGAAAGGGCCAAATTGGAGTTGTGTGGAGAGTAAGGGAGTGTGCAATTCAGTGGAAGCCGTCCCCTCCCCCCCCACCTTGGGAGAGGGCCTGCGATTAGTCCCTCCAAGACCCTGTTCTGGGTCGGTGGCCACCCCTACTTTTCTAAACACACGTGGAGGGTTCTCCTGGGCATGACAAGTGGCACGGGGCCAGCCAAAGCCAAGATCCAGGAGCAGCAGAGAGGGAGGGAGCCAAGAGGAGAAACCTCTTCCCCTTCCTCCCCACCAATGTCTTCCCCCACCCCTGGCTACCCTCCCTCTACTGGCTGTCAGTGGCCGGGGCCCCAGAACCCTCCCTTGGGTCTTCTGTGAGGCCACAGGCCCGCAGGGCTGCTGTTCCCTCCCACTCCAGGTTGCACACTCCTCTTTCCACAGACCTGTGATAAGATCTACCACCCCATCTCGGAAAGCCTCCAAAGGCGAGATTAATTGGACAGCCCAACACGAGTCGCATGGTTAAAACAACAGCCCAGGTTGTAAAGTTAAGTAGCAGGAGTGTAATTGCTCTCCTAGCCAGAGGCCAGCTGAGCTGACAGCATCTCCCCCTTTTCTACCCCATCCATTCGCTGCTTTCCAGGGGAAATGGGAGTCCTTTCCTACCTGGGAGCTGGTTCAGTTTCCTTGAGCTCCTCCCAGGTGATGATGGGACTGGAGCCCCAGTGGAGGCGGAGCCCCATTCCCCTTCCCTCAAGCCATGTGAGCTGTAGAAGAGGAACCTCTGGTTTCTTCCCGTGAGGACACCCCTCTGGGAAAACTGGGTCATTAAGGGAGGGAGAACAAGAGTGGTTAAGAATGCGGGCTTTGGCCTCCGAAGAGTCCCAGCCTATGGTGTGACTTTTGGCAAGTGATTTCACCTCCCTGAGCCTCGTGTTTCTCGCCCTAAAATGGGAATACTAATGGGACCTGCTCCACAGTGCATCCACAATGATTAAATGAGATAGTACTTGTAACTCTGTGTGCTGGAACACAATAAGCACTTCCTAGATGCCATCTATAGCTGCCATGTGATTACCAGGGAGGAGGGGTCATGGTGTGCGTCCATACTGCCACTGCCATCCATTCACCTCTGCCCTCTGGCCTGTCTGCCTCCTGAGGGCAGGGAGGAGGGACGGCGTTGAAGGCCGGAGATCGCCACACGTCCCTGGTCACCACCATCTGGGAGCAGGACCCAGGCAAGGCCTCAACAACGGCACTGGGCATGGAGAATCATCTGAGACCGGAAAATGGGAACAGGGAGACCAGGGCACATTCTCAGGGTCTCAGCCGCAGGAAAGCTGACTCCGGGCTTCCCTTCCCTCTCCCCCTATGCTATTTTAAGACGTGCCCCCCATTCTCTCCCCCAACAAAATGAGATTCAATTAATTCAATTAAAGCAATTTTGGGAGCAGCTCCTGAAGGCTTTCAATGTGAGATAATTACAAGTAATTTGCTGCCGTGAAGAGGAAAGGGCACCGGGGTCTGGGGTGGGGGGGGGCGGGGAAAGGAGGTAGTCCCCTCCCGACCAAACGCACACAGATCTAGAGGGATTCCACGCTGCAATCTTAACTGCCTTCCCATTGGCCAAATTACTTGCAGGTGGGAAGAGGGAGAATGTGGTGGTGGGAGGGGGCTGGGAAGACACGGAGTGACAGGCCACCCCTCCCCCACCCCCAAATCCTCTGTGCACAGTGGGGGTGGGGAGCTGGTTGTTCCCGACAAAATGTCTGCACGGCCCTAGCAGCTGATTACTCAGCTCCAAACCTCATTGGAGCTTGGATGCCCGAACTTGTCTCTGGGATTGTATCCAGAGTCAATGGAATGTTATCCGGGTAGCTGAGGCCTGTGTAGACCGGGCCTTGGAGATCAAGGACGAACCCCACAATGTGTAAGGGATGTGTGTCGAGAGGGGAAAGGCCAGAGAATGCCGACGCTGACTTCCTGCTCTCGAGGAGGTGACGATCCGCCCACTCTCTCTCCTCCCCGAGCTGGTGCTTTCTGGTTCTGTCTGGTGTCTGATCTCAACTCTTCCCATTATCCCAGTGGCAAATCTCCTCCCAGCTTTCTGTCCCCAGGGCCACTGAAGCCTCTTCAGAAAAGCATCCTGCAGGTGTTGCCAGCCACCGGCTCTCCTGGGGTAACCCTTTCCTTGCCAGGGCTCGTGTGCCCCGGGAGGAGGTGAAGGGGGTGACTGCTGATGCTGACGGGGAACTCCGGGCAGAAGCCAGGAGGCAGAACTCAGACAGGTGTAGCAATGGGCATCAGGTCTCTGCAGAGACCCTTTGAACCCGGCCCTCCAAGAAGCTGCTTTTCAAGGGACTAAGGTCTCCCTTTACCTGTTCCAGGAGATGAGTAATGTTTTGACAATTAAAAGCCACTGACCCCAAAGTATTCCTGTTTATATCTTCCCTTCTGTCACTCTCCTTGCTCCTCCCACTCCAAGGAGAGGTGAGGAAGTGGGGCTCCTTCGGCTCCGGTCTCCCCGGCCCCAGCCCTGGCCTCTCCTCTGAGTCGCATGCATGGCTGTTGGACCCGGGGGAGCCAGGGAAAGATTCTGTCAGGGAGTCCTTGGGCGACTGCTGTCTCTCCGCTTCCACGATGACAAAACTTAGAGAAGGAAAAGTGGCCCCCTCTTCCTGCCTCTCCATCCCTGTTCTGGCCAGCCCACACTGATTAAGGGGAGGGATTAAAGACCCTTCCATCCCAAACCTCAAAATACAAAGGCCCCAGGCACATGCATGGAAGCAAGCAGACAGACGCAGAGATCGGGCACAGGGACATCGTGAATGCACACACAGGCGGGCAGATGCACACTGGCATACATGGGGAGGGCATGGCTACACACAGAGACACGTGTGAGCATGTGTTCATGAAGCCTTCCCATGGTCGTACATGGACATACGAAAGAAACACGCACACAGGTTATGTGCTCACAGAGAGAAGCCCAACACAGAGGGATGGACCGAGAAGGAGATACACAGTGGCTTAGACATATGCAGACACAGGCTGAAACCACCCAGAAATACACAGACTAGCCTCCCTCCACCTGAGCGTGTGTGGGGAGGGAAAACAGCGGGGCTCTCTCCTCTGTCTCTCGCTGTCTCCCCACCCCTTCTCTCCTCGTTCCTGGCCCCTTTCCTCGCCCTCCATCTCCTGTTTTCTGGGCCTGTATCCCTTGTGAGCAGTTGGGGAGGAAGACTGAATGGCCATAGAAGCCAGATGATTTTATTATGACTTTTTTTCTTGGTTCCCGGAAGGCTTGCCTCCTTCTTTTCCTGAGTCTTAGCAAGAGATCCTATCCCGGCCCTTCCTGGAAC